TGGAGGCTTTCAATGTTAAAGCACTTTATTACTTACCAACAGTTATAAATACAAAAATTTCAATTTCAATCAGTAAATCTGTTCATTTTCCAGCTTATAGCCTTCATCATTCATTGATGGAACATATTGGACTGGGAATGCATGGAGCAAGATCCACTATGATATTTAAGGTTAAGAAATTCTTCCATGTCTGCAGCTGCTTTCCCGGTGTATCCCTACATAAGATCTTTCGTTTGTTAAAGTTTAGGTACCTAAAGTAATCTAAAAAAAAAAAAAAAAAACAAAATTTTTTCAGCTTGTGATTTATTTTGCCTCTATTTTATGTAGTCAAAAAAGGAACAATTTTATATTCTCATATATGTCTATGCCTCGGAGCTTCCCTTCCGGTTCTTTTCTGGGGAGCAACCTGTTGAGTTAAACCACTTCTTACTTGAGGCTGGATATATATATATATACATAAAAAGCAAAAAAAAAGGAGTAAAATATTAAACAGAATTTATTCCGGATCAGATCGGTTCAGAACAGGAAATTGCGGCGAGTCGGCACAGCTGTGGGCTCAACTCAACAGGATGCGTTGGCTTCCACAAATGAGGCAGAACAAGGTCATCTTCTGCTTCTTATACCTCATGAGTCTAATGTTGACTCAAATCCAGCAGCAGCACCCTCCAAAGGCCGGATTCGTCAGCCGATTATGTCATATAAATATGATATTCGCAATGATGGTACTGCTGCTGAAGCTCCTTGAAAATGTAAATACCCCCCAGAACAGTAGTAAGAAGTTTAGCATCCATTCTTTGCCTGCTTTGTGTGTCAACTTTCATGTTTGCTAGACTACAGAGCTTACAGACAGTGAAAGCTGGAGAAGGCTGGACCTGTTTGAATCCATAGCTAAACTATTCTGCCTCATTATTTTCATGGACCTCGGAGGATCCAGTCCAGATGGACCGGGACTTTGGAGGACGCAGCCACAATAATCTAACACACCCTATATGTTGCATCAGGTGGATGTTTAGCTGTGGGTATGAGTTCCTGACCCTGACCTCCTTCCCTGTTGCATCTAAAGCCTCAGGATGACAGATGTGTTCTTCTATATCAATCTGGCCTCTGGGATGTACAATTATTTGTGCTTATTGTTAATTAATTAATTACATAGCCTCTGTAATTACACAGTGTTACATTATGCGGAGGAAGACTATGTATTCTATCTACTCTGCTTAACAGATAGGTAATAATAAGATGTTCTACCTGTATGCTGCTTTAAACGAAGCTGTTTCCTCAATTCTTAATAGTCTCTGAACACTTTGATGTATTAATCAAGCAAATTAATTTTCTAAATAACGTAATTGGTTAGGCAACTTTTAATCTGTAATGTCTGTCAGTTTATAAACTCTTTTAGGATATTTTGTGGTACACATTTTAATGTGTAATGTTAATAACCAAATGTTTGACCACTTTAACAGACAAACTGCCTTAGAAGCAAATTTAAAAAAACAAAATTGATGTTTTCCTCAGTTAAATTCAGTAGCCTAAACAAAATAACGTCAGATTAGTTTCAAAAGAAATAGTCCGTATACTTTTTACCACTTATACTGCAAATACGATTAAGGAAACTATACTTCACATCTTTACTGGGTTTGAAATCCTAAAAAAGTACCAATTCAAAGATAAAGACAACCATATTCACTCTTATTACAGCGGCAACAGCTACGTACGCCAAACTGTTAGCTAACGTGAAGCTAAACGTAAAAAAAACACGTATATCTCGAAACAAAGGCATATCATGCTTTAAAAGCTATGATAAAATTCACTAACAGTTCTAAAATAGGTTAAAGTAATAGCTGTAAAGCGAAGGAACACAAACGCTCACCTTTCCGCGGGGTATCCCGTCTACCTGAGCTAGAGGAGGACGGCAGGGTGAAGTAGAGTAATATTGGAAAATCCTATTGGCCGAGGGGAGACGAGGGGGACGTCACGGCCAGGGAGCGTCATTGATTGGTTCACGGAATGGAGTGATGATAGTGAGAGAGGAGGGCCCTGCAGCGTCAGCCAATCAGAGGCTCACAATGTTTAGCTAAGTCCAGCAGACTGTATGAGGGCAGATATCGGGTGGTGGAGGGTGTCTGCCCTCAGAACTTTAGTCATGACTCTTGTTGTCTCACGTTGGCTCTAGATTACTTTTTAATGTTGTTACGTGATCCGACTCCAGCTGTTCCTGTTGCGATAACGGCAGAGTCAATCTAAAGATGCGTAAACAAATTCTCAACTTCAAACTGTGAATAATGCAAAGACATGTTTGGAATACTAACAGATGTATAAAGTTAGAAAACGATGGAAAAATTTGAAAAACATTTAAAATCCTTTCTCAAAAATCCCTGATTAAAATTCTATTGAAGAAGCACCATTAATTTCCATAGTAATACATTCATAAATATTTTTATCAACACATGATTGCTCCTCATGTTTCAAACAGAGCAATCTGCTCCCAAATAAAAGCATTACTAGGGATTTTCAATTTTCTAAAACTAGAATGAGGCAGATGTTTTAATTATCAGGCTGCTCTGCTGTGAAGACAACTTCCACTTATACTCTGTCAGACTGAAACCCTGTCTACTTTCAAGACTACTGATAAAACTTCACAGTTGAAAAGCTTACAATTTTCTTCCACTTTTCATTATTTGTCACTTCAATATCAAACTTTTCTCATCATAAAAGCTGCTTTTGGCCCGTCACTCTGGTTTAGCTGTGACACCATCCTGGAGGCATCAGCCGGGCTGCTGCAGCTTCAATTATAAATGATAGAGCTGGCCTGTTTTTCAGTGTTTAGTCCTCTATCATTCATGTACGGGCTTTTACTTTGACCAACATCATGGGCTCTGTTTCATCGTTTTTGATGTGGGAACTGGTTCAGAGCTGATCTACTTGAAAGTTTCTTTCCTGATCAGAGCCACTTATGAAGCTAGTTAAAAGTGACCTTTTCTAGTATAAGTATTTGTTGAATCAGTGCTCTTGTGTTCGTCTCAAATGTCTGCATCTTTATTATCTACTTTGTTGGTGTATGCTCTGTGTGAGGGAATCCTGAAGAGTCAAGAACACAATGTAATCCAATTTCATCAAGTCAATAACCCCAAGCAATCGTTTCATGCTATGGTTAAAATGTTTACTTGTGTATTCATAAAAAATAAAGGCCAAATTACCTGACTAATAATCTCTATAGAAGGAAATAGGGAGTCCACTTTTGTTTCTGCATACGTCTGTGTGGGGTTTCCTGTGCGCCCGTATGGGAATGTGGCCAATTCTTTTCTAGCTTGTGGGGATGATTACACAGGAATCTGCCAAATTTTGAGGATTTATAGGTTCTTGTGGGGACCAATGACTGACCCCCCATGAAGATTGTACAGTGACTGTGACTGCTGTTTCTAGAAATGCTCTGTTTTCTGTTGTTTGTTTACTGGATCAGCTATATTAGTAAAGTTTGGAAACAAACACAAAATTAAAATCCAACATTTCGGACATCTCTTCTTCCAATAATGTGGGGAGAGCAAGAGAAAGGAGAAAAAACCTGATTGTAGGATCAATGAAACCTAATTTATCCCCTCACCTGAGGACTAAAGCTTTTCATTGGTGAATGAGAAACCTAATCCAGGGACTGGACAAAATATATTTGACACTACATCTTATTGCTGTGATGGTCTTTGTTAAATCACCTCTTTTTGAGGTAATGGTTAGGGTATGGCATTAGAAATGAGTTTGGAATAAATGAAAGTCAATGGAAAGTCACCACAAAGATATTGTGACACATCATGTGCATGCCTGTTGGTGGCAACGATTATGTTGTGTACTTCCAAACAGAAAGACCTGAGCAATAACTCTCGGACATAGAGCTCTGACTTTTTGTTTTGCAGGAATGCTGATTTGTGGTCGTGGCTTCCTTCCCAATTGATATTTTATTGGGTTTAATCTAACTAAGGCTTGGGATATATATATATATATATATATATATATATATATATATATATATATATATATATAAACACACATCAGTCAAATTACATAATAAAATATTTCTACATATGTAACTAGCTTTTAAAGCAATTTATTATTTCAAGTCCAAAGAATCAGCATTTTTTTAATGCTAACTATCCCCCAATTTGTTCAAAATACAACCAGAGGCAAAAAAATAAAAATAAACTAATATTTATATATATATATATATATATCCAAGAATCTAAACACTTGTAACAAGAATATAATTTTAACCAGTGACTAAAATCTCAAAAAAAAAAAAAAGAAGGTATATTAGTTTCATAATAAAAGAAATCAGACACTCATGACACATTAAATTTAAATGTTTTACTGATTTGGCAAAGTTTTAAAAACAGATTATAGCGTTTCACAGCTTAAAATACAAGAAGCATATTTATTAATGATAATATAAAACATGTAATAAAACATTTAGTTTTAAGCCTACATGACATTCATCAATGCACTCACAAGAGACGGATACCAATTTTACTTTTCAGAGCGACTCTGAATATTTGCAGGAAAAAGAAAAAAAGAGACTGAAGAAAGAAACTCAAGAGGAGGTTTGGTCACTTTCCAGAGAGAGAGAAGAGATAAGAAACACAGATAAAAAGAGACAGAAAAGAGGAGACATTAAAACTGGCACATTCATATTACGTCAGGGTGTGCAGTAGTTATAAACAGGTTGTTACACCAAAGGAAGGGAGGAAACTGGCTAACAGGCTAGAGACTAGAGTCAGGCTAGAGTCCATGCATTGAGTTCAGGCTGCTCCTGCTTTCATTAGTGTTTACAATCACGGCAAATATGGCTCCCAGTTACGATACCACAGATATATCCAACAGTTTAACTACGAGCTTCTCTCCGTTTCCCTGTGTTTGGCAACGTGACTGGTGCACCTCTCTCTACAAAGTCTCTTATCTCCAAAAAAAAAAAAAAAAAAAAAAAAAAAAATCCACTGGACTTGGTTTCATCTATTCTGTTATTCTGAATCCACACAAGCCAACCAACCTTTCTGAAGTCACCATTTGTTTCCTTATCTCAAAATAGTGACTGATTCCAGCTCTGAGCTGGTTCGGTACTGAGGCTAAAACAAAGAGGAGGGTGGACTCTGACATTCAGGCACTCATCAGGCCTCGCTGCAACACTGTAATGGGTAAGAAGTCAGACAGAGTGTGTTCATGCGGCATCGAACAAGGCCTCACCATACACAGACTCTCTGATGCAAACAAAAACACATGCCTACATGTGCAAACGACGGAGCACCGTAATATGCAAGCACATCAGCTCACTCTTCAGATTAATAAAACAAAATTAGAAACAGACTTCGGTCCAAACAATTTGTCTTTTCTCGGATTCTACCATAGATCCGACAAGTGGTCTTTCTCATATCTGGTCTGTGTTAAAATTAACTAATGTTAAAGTAACTAGTAGCAGCTTCATATCAGTAGCGTTTCAGTGGCACTGCAGTGATCCAGTGGTGCTTCATACCGGAATGTCCCCTCGCTGCTGCAGTCCTGCCAGGAGCGAAATAAAACACAGGTTCGAGGACCTCGTCTGTCACAGCGCCTTCCCCCTCCAATTAAGGTAAGTGCAAGAACCTTCATCAGCATCAACATCTTCGTCAGTGCCTGCTGCTCAACTCTGCATCGGCATCGTAGACAGATCCATGATCAGAATTCTGCAGAACACTCTGCTTTTATTTAATGGCAGTAGTCAAGAGCAGTCATAAGGGCTTGTCAATCACTGTCACACCTGCAAAAAGGAGAGAAATTAAACATTCAAGTTTTATTATTACTATTGTGTATCTAAATGCACAATGTAAAAAAGAAATGCAGAAAATATTGTAGATATTCAAGCAAAAGATACAAAAATATTTCATTATTTAGAAAAATTTAAAGTGGAGTCAAAAAAAAAAAAAAACTGCTGCAAAATCAGATGGGCAACAAAATTAAAACAGATTGTTCACCCTGCCCCTCTCACTCCTTTCATGGAGGTGTAGCAAAAAGAAAGATTTTTAGATTTCTGTTTACTCAAAAACCCAGCAAACAAGTGGAAGGAGGCCTACAATCACAAACGCTGTGTGACAAAATACAAACACTGCAAATTCTCCTGAGCACACCATCCCCACTGTAAAGCATGATACTGGTGGAGTCATACTCTGGGGTTTCTCTATGGGAAGATGGTCTTGGTATATTGAAAGATTGGCACAAATCCAGAAAGAAAACTTTTTGGATGTTGGAGAGGCTTGATGTTGGAACAGAGGCTCGGTTTCTGGCCGGTCAACACAACACATGATGCATACATGGGTCACATGGGACCAGAGTTAAATGTATTGTCCTGAATACAAAACTGTGCATTGTAAGAATTTTTAATAGCTATTTACCTTTAAGGAAAACCCTTTTTCAAACCTAAATGAAAAATCTATAATTTCATGAGACTGAAATTAAAATTGATTTAAAAATACACTGATAAAGATTTATCTTTATCTTAAAAAAAAAAAAAAAAAGAGAGAACATGCCCCATCGTTCTACCAGGATTCATCTCCCATCTATATTTGTCAATCTTTTCTTTTTCATCTCCTTGCCTTGGTTTTCATCAGTTCAAATCAAAATGAGCTCTAGCACATTATCCCCACTGTTAAACAGGGCTGGACTGCTAGCAGCAAGTTCCCCTTCCAACATGACAAGCATCTATCCCGATGAGCATCAGGTGTTCTGAAAAGTTGAACCAGCAAAAATAAAAATAACCAGTTTCTAAGCAAAGCTGTTTTGTTTTTTTTTCTAAATATGCTTTTTTGTTGCATCCAGTAAATCAGGTAATACTTTTAGACATTTGTTTTTCTAAAACAGTTTAATTTTACAATTATTCACTACTATTTGCTGGCCAATCAGTAAAGCCCCGGTTAAAACGTGGATGTTTGTGGCTCTAAAGAGACGCAATGTGAATACCTTTAGAGAGGTATTCAATAGCTTGATCTTGATGATGCATAGAAAGCAAGTGATTTGGGTGTTATGTCTATATAGGGGAACGTTCAGGAGGTTAGTGATGCAAAGGATGCATTGCTAACAATGTGAAGGCTGCGATCAGGGAGAAGCAAGAGCAAAGCGAAAAACCAAGACAGACACAAAGCAAATTTAACTGGATAAAATAAAAAATCTGAATTTTGTAAATTCCTGTTGTGTCAACCAATCAGGGACTGGATGTGGATGTGGCTGTTGTATAGGTCACAGAAGCACAGCAGAGATTAAACTTTTTTTCAATCAAAATGGCAGAGAAAAAAAACAAAAGTTGACCTTGGATGAGGAAAGGAATGCCTCGTCTTTGGAGCTTTGTGGGTGGGTTTTAAAAAAGACATATTAAACTACCCCTAAAAGGAGTATAAAATCATTCAATTCAAATTCAATTTAAAAAATACTTCAAATAATTCATCACTCGTCCTTCATCTGTAGCTTCAGAGCTGGTCTCTTCTGCGGCCAGCTCTGGTCCACCCTCTGCACTGCACTCTAACCATCTCCCTGCCTCACCTCTGACCTCCTTCCCTGAAGCAGAATAACAGTTTCGGATACTGAACAGAAAAAGGTAAGGCCTATTTGATGAAGTATTGAAACGTTGACCACGTTAGCCACACAAATTGCTGGCTAAATGTCAAACACCATGCGAGCAACACAGAGATTCTATTAAAAACGCATTTAGTGTGAACGCACTAATGCATTCACTGACCTGCATAACTGCGGCCTGTGCTCATGCAGGCTGGCATTAGCGTCCACTTATCAGTGGTTGGATTGTAGAACTCCACCGAGGCCAAATTGCAGCTGCCGTCGTCTCCTCCGACCACATAAAGCAGGTTGTTTACAGTACACACACCTGAAAACATAAGCACACACAGATAAACATCCACCAGTGAGGAGAAAAACATCATATGATGGCATCTCACAGGGTTTTCTCCTTACTTACCTGCGTTGCGTCGACACATGTTCATGTCAGCTACTTGCCGCCAGCTGTTGGAGGCTGGATCATAAACTTCACAGCTCTTTCTCACCAACGGACCGTCATGGCCGCCCACAGCATATAGTAACCCTTTTAACACACCCACACCTAAAAAAAAAAAATATTGCAAATGAATTGGATGCATTAGCAAGTAATTAGCATGATTTGCATTGCTAGCTTAAATGCATAGTGGAGGATGTTCTTTTTCCGGGTGGATCATCAAAATAAGTGGTCCTCCTAATTGTCAATCATTCTGGCGATAAGTTTATGTAAGGTTATCTTCTTTTGATAAGTGAGAGATGCTTTTAAACAGAGCGTGCATGAGGAGAAATGGGCTTATGCACGCTCTTGCACGTGTTCAATAGGCACAGGGTTATATATCTATTTTGTCTGCACCATCAACACCAAGTCAAATGCCTTGTAAGTGCAAACATACTTGCTATAAACTAGATACTGATTCTGATGTGCATTTTTTTTAATGGAGAGGGCAGGTCTTTTCAAAAAGTTAAGAAAATCCTTCCTCTAAATAGTTGGGAATTATGTTGGTTTGGTGGCATTACAGAAGCTCAAAAAAACTAAGGAAACTAGTTATCACTGATAGTAATTAGCTGGGTAGGGGTGGGCATTTAAGGTATTTTTTATATAAACACTAAATAAGAATAAACAGTCATTAAAAAAAATATATATATATTATTTTTTTCATTCAGACATTGGCAAATTATAAGAATACCTTTCAACTGTGTTACTATGGGATGTTTATCGATATAGATAAAAAAAAAAAAAATCACACTTCTTTACGGATCTTGGATCCTGAAAAGGCCTATGTTAAAATGTTATATTTTTTTCTGGCAGGTATTTATAATTTTGGGGCTCTGACTGCTGTGGCATGAAGTCACAGCTAGAACGACTTCAAAGAATCATTAAAGAATGTTTTTAATCTTCACTTATCGGTATCATGATAGTACAGCAAAACATCGTGATAAGATCTTAAAGCCCCCTACTGCTGCGTTTTAGTCTGAATAACTTGGAACACAGCTAAAAGCAGAAATCTCTGAAAAAAGGTAAACATTTTGATTTTGCCATTTAGAAACATGCTTACTTTCCTGCTTTTAGACTTTTACTGTTAGGTAGAAAGTACTGCTGCCATGCTCTTTCAAAACAAAAATAAACATTTATACTGAAAGCAATTAGTTTTTTAGAAAACAATTGCGTTAAACCAGAAAGCGTATCCAATAATTTGTATCCTTTACGGTGATCAGATTGGAACTAGGGCCACTTTTGTTTCTTTTATCAGATCAAATTTTAGTCATAATTTATTTATCACTTCTGCAGAAATTAGAGCCCTTGTACATAATTATTAAGGTGTACACGCAGAAGCTATGAGCTGTAGAGATGTTGTTTTGAATTCTGCTTTTTTACAGTGTCTGCGCTTAAGTGTGTCCTTATAAAGCTGTGTGTTTACTGCAAATTTCTTGTTTGGTTTATTTTAGTGCCAGGTCTATGTAAATACCCATGATCTTATGTCTTAATCACTGACAAAATGTTCCTATTTAGAGAATAAAGTTATTGTTCATCTAATTATTTAGTTTCTAAATGGCCAATCATTGCCTGACTTTTCTAACAGAAAATCATCAACCTCAGGTAGCCGCACAGCTTTTCTATAAATCCCTGATTAAAAGTGATCTCTTGGAGGAAGATTGGACAGGTTGGACATGAATGTAGGTAAAAATAAATAAATAATTTTCATTTTTGCATTGCAGGATGTGGAACTTTTACATGCTTCAGCATTGTTGGACAAACATCTAAATTTTCTTTCTCTACACTCTTTTTTTAGGGGTAAAAATGTATGTTTTCGGAAATGTGCTTAATAGATCATTAAAAATAAGAAACAAAGTATTCCTGCAGCACTATTTTGTTTATTTAGGCGAATAAAACTGTGATTAATGATAAGTTTGTTTTAATTTTCACAAGAGCGTTTTTTTTCATCAAGATCAGATTTATAAACTTCTAACTTTAAAATGAACCAATGAGCAGATGTTTTCTGTTCTGTATCAACGCATAAATGTAACTTGGAATTATTATAGCTAAAGGGATACGGATAAGTATGAGTGAATGCAAATTTAGCTCTCACATTTTGTGACACAAAAATCACAAACCTGCTCCACTACGTCTGGTACCCATCTCTGCTATATAGCTCCATGTGTTGCTTTTCGGATTGTAAGCCTCCACCGTGCTCAGGCACTGCCTGGTGGCTCCATCATAACCTCCCACAGCATACAGGATGCCTGAAAAAACAAGAATACGTATTTAAATCTAAAAGAACAAAAGAACACATTTTTCATGGTGGTTTCTCCATAAAATTAAAAATACCAAATAAAATATATTTGGTATTTGTAAACCTTGGAAATAAACTGAGAATTGTAATCACCGTTGACAACACCGACTCCTACGCTGCTGCGTCTGGTGTTCATGGGCAACACATGGAACCACTCATCCGTCTTGGCGTTGTACGCCTCAATTGTGGAGAGACCTACGATCAAAGAGCAAGAACCCGCCATCAGATACTGCTTCACAAACATTTATCTTCATGTTTTAACCACAGAACACAGAACGCTGTACCTGTGCTGCCATCAAAGCCTCCTACAGCGTACAGGAGTCCATTGAGAACAGCAGCGCCGAGCGTTGACCTCCGGTCCTGCATGCTGCTCACACTAGTCCAGCGATCCATCACTGGTTCATAACAGTCCACTGTCCGCACACGTAAAGATCCATTGAAACCGCCTACGGCATACACACATCCACCCATGTACACCACACCTGAAACACAGAATGTAACCCAATAATTACAAACTAATGAACATCAATGCTCTGCACACTACTGTTTGTTTAGGAATTTTAAGGCTTTTAAAATTACATGAAAAGAGTTTTGGTGGTCTGTATGTCCTCTGGTGACTTTAAATCACCTTCAGACCCTAATGAAATCCACAGCACATTACATTGCATTAACATCCGTTAAAGATTTTTAAATGTGGTCCTATATGATGTCATGAGGAGGATAGAAACTCTGGAGGAGCTGTAGAGGTCCACTACTCAACTGGGAGAATCTGTTGACAGATGATTAGATATGCAAGAACACATAATACTGAACATTAATCGCATGAAGTCATATTTCCATCCCATTTACAGCTTGGATGATCCATGCAGGGAAATCTTCAAACATGTTATATAAGATTAAACCAATACTGAACTTTTAGGTGTAGAAACATTAAAACTAGAGATGCAATGATCTAGTTTTTCCTGATCAAATCCAATACAGATATCTGGGCTGAGTGTATCGCCTGATATCCAATTGCAATCCGATTCAACTGTTGACTCAATAAACCATGTATCTTGCATGTGGGTGACGGCTTTTAACCTGACAACAGCCAGATGCATGTCTCACTCCGCTAGGCGGAGTGAGACATGCATCTGGCTGTTGTCAGGTTAGACGGCTTTAACCTCAACATAAACATTGTCGAAAAATGTAACAAATTAACACAGATATAAATTTATTTATATTATTAATCAACAAATAAGTAGCAAAAAGAAAAAGATAACAGTTCTATTTTAAGTGCAGAGGATTACCAATATCCAATCACTGATATCCAATCCACGGGTGTCTCTAATTAAGTGTGTGAAAACAGACATACAGTGCACATAGTGAAATGTGACGGTGGCAGTATCATGATGTGGGGATGTTCTTTCTTGAAAAGTTGGAAGAGAGAAGTTGAAATGACTTTTGTGGAACTAAAACAAAGTAATATTTGGAAGAAACCTAAAAATGGAGTTAAATTGGAAAAAATATGGAGTTAAATAGGAATAGCTTCGTTCAAAATAGATTTATGCATTAAAATGTCCTAGTCAAAGTTTAGACAGATTCAGCTCAGAGTGTGCAGCAATGTAAAAATTAATGGCCGCACCCACTAATTAAATCTATATCATCCTGACCTCTACAACACATTTTGACTGGGCAAACTGACATTAAACTGATCCTAAATGTGGCAGGATCAGGTTTTCCAATGATGGCCCACAAAGGGGCAGGTTAGAACATCTTCATGGCCATGTACTGGTCCAGTACAAATTTATTACTGCCACCACACGCCAGCCTAAATGAAGAGTATCTCGAGAATGAATAGGACTTTCAGCAAATTTATGCAGTTGTATAGCAAATCTTTTTTATTTCAGGGTTTCCAACCTGCTCTGCATCTTCTTGTAGGGAGTTCAGCCACTTGGTACCATCGCTGCTCCTCAAAGTCGAAACACTCAACACTACGGATAGCCTTAGGAGCCTGACCTCCAACTACAACCATCACCTAAATGCAAGAGGATAAAATAAAAAAAATAACAGGTAAGATGTTTTCACTCTGAAGTGAAGACCTTCAACTGTGACTTTTATCTTCACCTTGGGACAGGAGACAGGAGTTCTCATTCGGGTACGTGCGGTCTTCATCAGAGCTCGCTGCTCAGCTGGCAACAAGTGGTACTTCATGGCCTCAATCAGGTAGTCTTTACACGCACTGCTGTTCTTTATCAGGGACTCCTCTTCGACACGCTGACAGCAAACAAAGAACCCATTAGAAAGCAGAAGACACTGCAAGGGTGTGCTTAGAAGAAGCAGTAGAAAACTTAAACTTAAGTGAAAACAAAAATGCTGTTTCAACAGAGAAGAAAATCTTTAAATTATATTTGCTTTTGAAAATAAGTTTGTAATCATACATATACTAAATATTCCATTTTAGACAACTCATCAACATGACAAAAAAATTAAATAGAAGACACCGATGCTTTAGAATTAAATTAGGGCTAATTAATTGCATTTGCAATATGATCACAATTTAACAAAGCACTCCATTATAATCACATTATATTTAACAATAGTTAAGATAATATAATAATAATAATGACTAACGTTTCATTTCACCACTTTAGGTGGTGGTAATACACATTAAGTGTATTTGCCGCCACACTAATAGGAAGAGAGTTTCAGCTAGCGCACAGATCCATTCATGTTAGTAAAAGTAAGAACCTTTTCATACAACAGTAACAGTAAGGTCCTGTAATAATAAACTCTGGACAAGTAAGCTTTCCAGGTTAGGAAATACTACATAAAATCTTATCTACTGGAGTTTAATGAATACCATTTAATACAACCATTCATGGCATCCTCTTCAAATTCTAGAATCATAGGGTTGTTGCTAAGATCTTAAGATTGGAATAAACAGGAGATTTGCTATTGCTTAACAGCCATACGTTTTTAGTAGGTTGGTAATAATGAACCTTAGGGATGAGTTCTTGGACCTCTTCTATTATTAATTTTAAGGATGCATCATAATGATAATTTGAGCTAATATTGATACCTGCTTCTGCTTCTAATATTACTATTATGGCAGACAATTTCCAACTCCTTCCACACAATGAAATAAAAAGGCCAAACCACTAATATGCACTACATTGTAAAAGGTAGCACCACCAGTTCAATTAATTCAGATATAAAGTTTAGTGTGGAGATCCATGACTGGCCTGCACAGAGTCCTTATCTCAACCTCATAGAACCTCTTTAGGACAAACTACATTGGATGCTGCATTTCGGCTTTTCTCATCTAGACCTTTAACCTTGTGGAAAGTGTTTAGAGAAACATTAAAGTTGCAGTTATTGGGGACAGGGGTCAATCCATGTGCTGGACCCAATAAAAATTAAGAATAAGAGGTTTATAAAATGTATATAAATGACAAAGTGGACAGACAAATACTTTTCCTTCTCTGTCAGAATAAAAAACTAAGTGATCATTTGCTGCATCATCAAGGTTACAGGCCCAAACAAACCCACCAAAATAAAATGCATACACAAACAACAAGATGGAAACAAAAATTGGTTATTAATATTTCAGTTAAACTTATAGGACACATTTTGATGTGTTAAAACAAAAAGGAAGCAATATTGAGCTTCCCTAATTTATCTATGTGCTTCCTTCTGGCCTGCTTCTCCAAACATGGTGAAACTCATATCTTTACAGGTGAAGCTGAACTAATGTGCCTGTTAACCCTACAGATTGTAAAAGCTTTAATAATCCTGCATTGTGTCTCTGGTCTGTTACCTTGTGTGCTGGAGAGCACTTTTAGTGGCTGACAGCTTTATTTTTGGTCCCCACTATTTCTGCAGTTCGTTTATCTACTTGGTATGTAATAAGTAGTAAAACTGATTTTCCAAGGAATTTAAAAGTAAAGTTTAGCTTATTATTTCACTAACTCCATAAGATGTTCATATCAAGTCACTAGTTTTGCATTACAACAGTTCAAACAGAAATATACACACATATTTCCCAACAGACAAAAATAAGGTAAAACATTTTTAAGCTAAAGTACATTTCCCAACCAGGTCCCATCCATGGCCTGTGCAAATAGATTGGTTTTAAACAGTTTTTAAAAGAACAGGATGTTAAACAGGATTTCCAGCTTTTAGAGACTGAAGTGATGCGTTTCACTACCATAGGGTCTGTATTTACCTGCAAGACACACCAGTCCCACCATTTAAAAAGACAAACTATAATTTCTATGAGATAGAACCTGTAAATAGACGGCTTTGCGCTCTGAAAGTGAGTACAAAGATGTAAAACTTATGCTAAAACGCTCCAACAGGTCCAGTAAAATCAAACTTGACTATAATGTGTTCTGATGGGAGAAGCACAGTAAAAAAGATATTACTACATTCTCAAGTAGACGATATTAAGGGATGAATAATCATCTTGCACTTGGTGAGAAACAAACATTCAGAACAGTTGAGTCGTGACCATCTGTCATCAGAACTCAGCTGCTGAATCAGCTGTAATGTCTACAAAGAGAGCGACGTTTGCTCTGTTTTTTGGTATCCGAGTGTTTCAGTTGCTTTTCTCCACAAGTGTTCATGATGTATCATTTCTTTGCCACCATCTAGTTCTTATTTAACTTTATTTTTAAATAAGATATGACCACGTAGGAATAATGTTTCATATTCCAAGTAATATAATATTTAATCGCCAAGTTAAACATACAGTAAATGGTGGCATAGGGTACGTGGTAAAAACTTTCAAGCATTCCCCATCCTGAGGTAAGTGAAGCCTCTAATATCCTTGTGGCAGCGGTAAATATTATCACAATAAACGGGGTAAGAACTGATTTAAAGGGGTGGATTTCGTCATCATATTCAACAAAAATCGCAGGCTAGCTGGTTTATTTGGTGATCAGATTGTCCAGATTACAAATTTCAATTCACGGGAAATAAAATAGAGAGGATTATTTTTCAGCTTTGAGCTACATTTTCAGTTTCAATGCAAATGTTTAAAAGATCTTGTGCAGAAGTCTGGTTTTATTAACTGTGTGCTCCATGAATTAAGAATCATTGTTGAAGTTTGCATCTAACTCGTGTGTTAAAGGGCTATTTGCTTCATTGCTTTCCTGCAATCTGGATTCACTTGGATAAGGTAAATAAATAATAATAAAAAAAAAAAAACATGTTTTACCATTTAAGCAACATTTATACAAAATCTATACAGAAAAAACTAAAGTGCATAAATTGTGCAGTCATAAATCAGAAACATGAAAAATGTGTATATCACATGGCCCTCTTAAAAGAGACCAGGTATTGATTGGACTTCTGGCACTATGGTAAAAACTGCCTCAGTCCATTAGAGCGTTACCTTAGTACTCTGTTTCTGCAACCCAAGAGCAGCAACTCAGACACCCCGTGTCCTGGCTGAGTATTGAACACACTAATTAAATCAAGAGGAACTTCCTCCATTCAGTTGAAGTAAACCACAAAATAACATCATCTAAGATTTATTGATATTTAGATCAGCTCCAGTTTAGGAGAAAGAAGATTTGCTTTCCATGTTAAAGGTATAGTGGAGGATGTTCTTTTTCCAGGTGGATCATCAAAATAAGGGCTCCTCCTACTTGTCAATCATTCTGGTGATATGTTTACATAAGGCCGTCCTACGTGCCGATTTTCACTTACTGATAGTAAGTAAGGTGAAAGTGGGCTTGTATGAGTGATATAAACAGCAACTTTTAAACAGAGCATGCATGAAGAGAAATGGGCTCGTGCACGCTTTCATGTTATATGTTTAATAGGCATTCCCTCTTGGGAGCAGATACAGGGTTGCGCATGTGCATTTTTTTTTTTTAAAGTGGTGAGGGCGGGTCTTTTCAAAAATTTGCTGAAATCCTCCATAAAACCTTTAAATCTTTTTTAGAGGCAGGAAATCAAAGAACAAAAAGGGTTGAATGTTTGAATACAAAAAGTAAAAGAACATTATTTGTAGGATTTTTGATTGGAAAATGGAAAAATAACTGAGTTTCAGATAGAGAGTTCAAAGCCACTGTAGGTCTGAACTTTTTTTTTCATAACATTAATTAAGTTAAGGAGAATGTTATGACGTGTTCCTACACACTGCTGGCCAGCTTGCTGAAAGAATGTTAGTACAGTTTTTCAACTCATAATGTGAAAAGTAATGGGGCGCCATGCAACCTTGCGTTGCAAGCAGGACTGTTGCGAGATCAGAGTTTTTAATCTCACAACAAATCCATCTTTAAGACTCCTGTGCATCTGGCAACAACCAGCAAGTCGAACCAGTGACATGCCAGCAGTGTTTTTTGGGGCGGGACATGTAGGAATGATGACAGTCAGAAGGACCTTGCTAGGGCATAACAAACATGGCTACGCTGGAGGACTCGCCTGTCGATACCGCAATTAACTCGGCTTTAGCTATAATAGCGTCAATTTCTTGTTTAACAGAGGAGCAAAGAGAAGCACTTTGTGCATTTGTAGATGGGAAAGATGTCTGTGCTTTTCTTCCAATAGAATTTGAAAAATGTTTGATAAAGGAAGACAGGCACAAGCTGGCACGTCACCCAATCAGCTCAAAGTATTGTGCTAAAAATCCCCCCTTTTTTACAGGCTATCCCAAATACTTCCAGGTTAATGCATTAGTTATATTTAGGTAAATCTGTTTCAGATCTACAAATGCTTACCAGTAGCTTTGAGCCTCATGTCCATTAACCACCTGATTTCAGCATCTCTCCTAACCAACAGCCTCACTAGTTAACTATAAAAATCAGCTTTATTTTTTTGCGTATGTTATATAAAGAGCAGAAAAGTGGGGGGAAAAGCATTCTGTACAATAGGCAGGTGAGTACTTAAAAATAACTCTGTTTAGTGAGTACTTTTTTCAAGTGTCTGTTTAAATCTGTGTATAGCAGTAGAAATAGCTTCTTTTCTGTTAAATTAAAGATTTTGGTTTAAACTCTCCCTATTAAAACACTAAAACTGGGGGATTAGAATTACACGGCTTGTGTTTACCAACAATAACCACCCTTTGGTGTTTTAATTATTTAGATTCTTTATCCGACGTTCAAAAAGCAGACAAAGGCGAAGCCAAACATACCTGCACTAGGTATTCTCTGGAGAGCAGCGGCAGGCGTACGTGTTCCATCAGGTGGGCCAAGTGTTCCTGACGGACATCTTTGTCATGGTTTACCCAGGCGATAACTGCCTCAAAGACCTATGCAGGAACACAGATGTATATCAGGCTAAGCTATCAGCCGTGCAATCAGGCCTGTTTTCTATAGAGGGGGAGTGAGCACCTTCTCCTCTGAGGGTATGGTGAGCTTGTCGCTGGCAATCAGACTGGACACCTGCTCCATACCCAAGTTCAGAAACTCCTCACTCCCGACGACCTCAGTGAAATGTTGCTCTGTCAGCACAAAGAAAATGCACAAATGCAACTTTTCAGACAGCAGCAGAAGTTTTCTAGAACAGATCGGCTCCATTAATTACACCTGTCCTCATTCTGTCTCCTACTCCCCGTCCCAGATTGTCTCGACCACAATTAACCACAAGCTCAATTTAAAGAGGCAGTAAGAAGAGTCGCTGTAGTTTGAGGACACAAACCTGCATAACCGTTAGCCAGTGAGAGAAGCTGGGAACAAGCATGTAGGTCGGCAAAGGCTCGTATCCCCAGACAGTTGGATGGATGGAGCTGGGAACTGAGGAACTCACAGCAGGCCTTTTTCACCTCGTTGAGCTGGAGCAAACCTGCTGCAGGCAGCAGAGCCTGAGGAGCACAAACACCATTGGTGGTCTGGTCATGGTAAGAGAGGCTAAAAGAAAGCTGCAGATCAAATACAGTAGTTTTTCTAAAAGTTGCTGTAGGGGAAAAAAAAAACTTGCGATCTCAATAAGACCGCAAAAAACCAATGCCTCCCATCCACTCTGTAAAACATGGTGGTGGCACCATCATTCTAAGGGGAAGTTTTTTTTTAGCTGGGATGGGGAAGCTTGTCAGAGTTGATGGGAAGATGGATGCAGTCAAAAACAACCACAGGACAACGACCTGTAACAAGCAGCCAGAGCTCCAGTTCAGATCAACCAGAACTTATTGGCTTTGAAAAGCTGCACAGAAAGTCCAGATAGAAATCTAACTGAGAATGGAAATATATAACACGCTTCTCTAAGTTTCCATTTGGAAAATAATTTCCCTTCACATCATTTTTATGCACTACTCTGTTTAAATACTGGGGAAAAATAATCCCAGTCAAATACATTAAAGTTTGCAGTAGTCGACTGAAAAAAAAAGGTTTAAGGAATATAAATACTTTTGAAGAATCCTGTATATCTCTGCCAGCAGTGTTAGAGCAGATCTGTGTGAGTGGCTACCTGCACGTTGTCCTCGGTGACCTGTATCTCTGCAGTGTAGATGTAGTCCACCAGCAGGCCCAGGGTCCACCCCCCTACCTCCTTTATTCTCACTCGCTTCGCTCTGCTTTCCGTCATCTCTCCTGTTTGAGTGATTTAAAATGTGAGCATATCATTAAGATTTTGGAACACCTCCTTTTCAAATGCAATGCAAACACAAATGGAAGACGCTCCCTACCTGTAAACATGGCGTGGAAATAAGGGCTCCCAGCGGCCAGAACCACCCTGTGAGCTGCAATCTCTACATCCTCTGCAACTATAGTCACATCACACAACAGGCTCTGGCTGCACAAACGGAGATGAAGAAGTAAAACAAAAAAGTTACAGGTAACATCGACAACCAAGGAGAGAACAAATAACTTAGCAGAGAGAGCATATCACCTCCGTAGCTCGTTCATGACCTTAAACGCCTTCCTCATGTGCCGCGGGTTCAGAGTGACTGGACCCTGCCTCTCCACTCCATCTTCTTTGTCCAGAGAGTGTGGACAAAGCCTAGTACACCTAGGAAGGGACACATAAACAACAGGCACAGGCATTAAAGCATCCCAGGTAATAACTCCTAACAGATGGAAATATCCACAAGCTTTACCACTTCAAAAACATTCGGTTCTGGAATTGAAATTTAGGTTAAATTCAGTTCTTTATACTCTAAGGCTTAATCATGATACATATATCAGGGTGAGGCTTTTGACCATTTGAACATAACCAATTGTAAAGCACGGTAATGGTAGCATAGTGCTCAGGGCTGATTAACATAGCAAAATTTAATGGAATAATAAAGAGGCAGAATTTCATCCAAAGCGTTCAACTTTACTTTAAACCTGCAGGGAGGTGGTTAGATAATGGTCACATTGAAGGATAAACACTGACTGACTAGTAGGAAACAGGAAGTAGACCATGTTGTTTAAGAAGGGCTTTAAGTACAAGTTGGTATAGGGCAAAAACGATTCCTTAAAGATTTATATACAAATGATCTTTGAATTTTACCAAAGTTTTCATTCCCTTCTGAGATCTGAGACGAGAATCTGTTACAGTAGCTGAAGATTAGGGTGATTGCAACGTCTTTAAAATGCTCACCATCAAAGAGAAGTCATCAAAATACCAGTGAAAACATGCAAAAGGCTGATCAGCAAAAATAAAGAAGGATTTAATTTATGCAATTTCTTTTACTTAACTGTAGATAAAAACAGATACATTTGTTTACTACATAGCTTTACATTGCTTAGCTGTAAAGAGATGGGTGACTCACTTTTTAAATCGGTCACAAACCTCCTCCTGGGTGAATAAAAATCATTTTAAACCTAAATCTACCAGGACTGTTAATCTAAGCCTTGGATGTTAAAGCAAAGCCGGAATAGAAGCTAGAATAAAAAACCTGGACTTAAAAAATCTTTAACAAATCCAAATATAACTAAACCAAACAAATACTATCCAGGGTAGGAAAGGAGCTCCGGACTGCTGTGGTGAATCTAGACAGTCTTTAGTCTTACAGACGTCACCAGCATGCACATAAATGCTGCTTGTCTTGTGATTACAGCCTCCAGGAAAAGAACTTAAGAAACAAAAAAACAAATCTAATGAAGGGCTGATGCATATAGTAGGCGCTATATGCATAAACTGAACTGAATTAAACTGGGCTCCATGTTTGTCTCCAAATGTGCTTGAGACAGGGGCGGAGCTAGATGGGGGGCCAGGGGGGGCCACCCTTAGCCAAACCTTAGCTACCACTGTGGCCACCCCTACCATTTTTTGCCTCCAATACAGACGATAGCAGCAGTAATACCCTCAAGTGGAATATTTAAAACATTTACATTTTTGTGGTTAATTATACACATCAATATACTAATAAAGATGATAAATACAGAATTCGGGCTCTTTTCAGAACTAGATTTTGTGTTATTTGGGGTAAAGAGAAAATGTGTCTCTGCAAGTCATCTGGGAGTCTTCAGTAATATCATAGATTAAAATAGATAACAATTTTAATAAAAACTTATCAAATAATCAATTTATGTAGATATTAGTGCTTGTAAATATCAATTTTATGCAGAATGTTTGTTTATACATGTAGGTAAGTAATGATGATGGAAAAGATTATGCCCCATATCTCAAAATTGAAAGAGTTTTATGCACTATACCTTTTATTTCGAAAGCATGGATGTTTAAATATATGCGTCTACTTGTTAGCCAAGGCTGTAGGAAAGTATTGTCTTTATTTAGAAAATATGGCTGTTGTGTTCATTAATTTTCCTGTTGGAACCGTATAGATTGACCCCGAGGTTCTGGCGCCTATCTGCTTTCGGCCCACCCCTCAGTGTACATTGATTATTGCCTGGCCACCCATATAAAAATGTTCTGGTTACGCCTCTGGCTTGAGATAAAGGATTGACAATTAGTAAGTAATGCAGAAAAATCCTGTTGCCATCCTCTTTCACAAATACATGCCCACACACGCCTCAGTGGGAATCCACGCTTGTTCTGTCTGCACCTTCAGAACAAATGAAACAATAGATCAGATCCTGCGTCCACCCTGGATCCCCCATCCTGGATCCCCTGCATCCACCCTGGATCCCCTGCATCCACCCTGGATCGCCTTCATCCATCCTGGATCCCCTGCATCCACCCTGGATCCCCTGCATCCACCCTGGATCCCCTGCATCCACCCTGGATCCCCTGCATCCTGGATCCCCAGCATCCACTGCATCATTCCTGGTTCCCTGCATCCTGGATCCCGTGCATCCTGGATCCCCTGCATCCATCCTGGATCCCCTGCATCCATCCTGGATCCCCTGCATCCATCCTGGATCCCCTGCATCCATCCTGGATCCCCCATCCTGGATCCCCAGCATCCACTGCATTATTCCTGGATCCCCTGCATCCATCCTGGATCCCCTGCATCCATCCAGGATCCCCTGCATCCATCCAGGATCCCCTGCATCCATCCTGGATCCCCTGCATCCATCCTGGATCCCCTGCATCCACCCAGGATCCCCTGCATCCATCCTGGATCCCCTGCATCTATCCTGGATCCCTTGCATCTATCCTGGATCCCNATCCTGGATCCCCTGCATCCACCCAGGATCCCCTGCATCCATCCTGGATCCCCTGCATCTATCCTGGATCCCTTGCATCTATCCTGGATCCCTTGCATCCATCCAGGATCCACTGCATCCATCCAGGATCCACTACATCCTGGATCCCCTGCATCCATCCTGGATGCCTACAGGACCATCCAGACTTTGCACCGACAGGCTGCGGTAGTACCTCTCCCTGCTCAGCGAGCTGCCCAGTGTCTCTGTTAATGCGGCACTATCAGTCAAGCAGCCACTGGGAAATGTCAACACACATCCACATCCACACACACACACACACACACTTACAGTGGATGACTGTCCATGATTCCGGTGTTTTTCAGAGGCGGAAAACTTGGCCCAGCAGTATGCACCATTCCATATCCACGGATCGGTCTTTATTCAGGCCTGAATTGGGGCTCAGAGGGCGGGCAGGCGGGCTGACAGCAGCCCCTGTAAAGCAGCCGGGCTCACATAAACACTCAGCCCACTGCAGTGACTCTGTCCACGGACACGTTTCGGTTCCGATGTGGTCAGCGGTGTCTGCTTCTTCTACTTCGGTCTGGAAAGTAAGCCCCCCAAACACCGAACCAGATGGGTTTTAATTTCACTGGCGATGTCCTCCTGAATGTTTGTGAGAGCCAGAGGGGCGAGGAAGGATACCTGTTATTTTTCAATAGCTGATTAAAACGCACAAACAAGGACAAGACAGCAAAGACGGTCTTTTAAACAGCCAAGGCGTCCAGGAAGAAAGTGATGTCTCCCCCTAGCGGTGGAAGACTGCTCAGAGAAGGCTTGGTGAACCTTCATAGGTATGGCATCCTATATTGATATACAATCACTCCCATATTTAGCTTTTAGACTAATGTCGCTTCAAATTTGCACATCTCAAGGCAAATATTCCACATAATTATTTAAAGATTACAGGTGTATCTAATAATTTTTTTTTCTTGTCATTTTAAAAGTTGTGGCTTATAGATAGTGAATGATTTCGCAAATGATAATTGGAAACTCATGGTATCACACCCAAATCAGCTAAATGACTAAAAAAAACCTACAACGGCTTCCTGGGCCTTGTCACTCTGGGTCAGCATGTTAAATAAGACTGCTGGCTTGACATATGTCCACAAGGATGCTATGCCTCAAAAGGTCATTATTGAAGAAGGTGGTTTTTGACACATCCAGGCATATCAACAGAAAAAATGAGCGGAAGGAAGAGTGTGGTACGAAAAGCAAAGTCTACTCAGGATAAAGCTTGAGTCTGCAGTGACTATACAAATACAAATCCTACGCATGGGCTATAAATCTTCCATCCCAGCCAGACAAAAGAAGGCAGATGGTCTGAAAGCAATCTGGGCCTCCATTACACCTACAAAGTACCACAAGCTGATCTCCTATCTGCCATGGTGCATTGATGCAATAATTTATGCAAGAGGAGGCCCAACTGTTTATTGGGTGCATATGAGTAGTAGTAATACTGAATAGTAATTGGTTGTATATCTTTTATATATGCCATCATTTTCAGTTGTTTTTTTTAGAAATCATAATTTCACCAGAAAAACTGCACTAACAAAGCATTAACCATTCCTTCTATTTTCTGAGTTTTTTCATGTGGGTGGGGTGTCAGCTTCATGCAGCTGGAGCCTATCCTATATTTGATGATGCGGGCCGGGGTGTACAGTAAACACTGTGCATTTGTAGCGCAGAGTGGCAAACTCACTGTAGGGCTTGCGGTAATAACTGTGAACGCTGCGCACAGTCTGGTTGTACCTTAAAGTTTAGTTAGGGTTCTCTTACCTCTCTGCACGGCTCCTTGGTCTTAGAAATGCTGCTTTTTGTTCAGGTATGTTATTTAAGTTATGTAAAGTACAGCTGCAGTCATTTAGATTAAATTGAATGCAGGTGGACTCTGTTTATTAATCCATTAATTGCTGGATTTACTGGACTTTTACTTAAAGGATTATGATAATCCCATCTATACCTGTATTTATAAATATATATAATTGCACAGGACAAGACTAAACCAATTAGTTATTTAAAGGTAAATGACTGATCTGTCTCTGAATTGTAAGAATCAGAGTAAAAGAAGCTGGATGGAACTGTAGGCTGGATAACAATGTAGACATTAGTTTGTAAAACCATGACTGAAAAACAAAACATTTTATTTGCAGAAGCAGTTCAAAATTGTTTTCAATTACAATTTTTATTTGACCTTATTTATATTTAAATTGCATACAAACACTTTTTGTTTTTCACATTTGTTTCCAGTCTTTATTTTTTATTTTAATTAGCCTGCTGATATCTAAGCGGGAGTTTCCTTGCAAAAGAATCAGATTTTGGATGTTTATTCCATCTTACTGTATGTAAAAAGCCAAATCCCATTTAAAACAATGCAAGACAAAAATTATCAGCCATGTTAAAAATCAGAGTCTGAAATCCAGACTTGGATTTAATTATGGCTACACAAATATTCAGGTGTTGTATTGTGTAATGCATTATCTTGCCTTATTGCCAAATGGGCAGGAATATCTTTGTTTTAAGCTGAACCTGTCTTCTAATAATTTAAAAGTTTTATTGACCTCATTGGTAGCTATATACCTCATTATATTGGTATAAGTGCAAAACTCAATCTACTTTTTATGTGTTTTAGAAACTCATGCATAGTTCATAAATTCAAATATAATCATTTTTATATTATTTTCTTGATCTTGTTTTCTCTTTAGAGGTGAAAAGTGAGTCAATAATTTTACTCACATGCTAACTCATAACGCACTGATTCAGGGGTGGGCAGCTCCAGTCTTCCAGGGACCTGACACTTTTAAATGTTTGCCTGCACAAACACACCTGAATCAATTCAATATATAATTACCAGGGCCCTGGAGAACCTGCATACTGAAGATAACATTCAGCTAAAGCAGTGGTAAAATATGCAGGACACGAGATATCCAATGCTGTATTTGTGAAACGCAGATCTACAGGAATTTTAGGATTGTGAAATAGCTTAAAAAACAGACCTAATTCATAACCATTTTAGCGCTGTTTTAATGGTCAAAAAATGCCAGGACAGAAAAAAAAGACCACCATTTACTGTAAATGATTTAATCCTTACAGAACTTTTAGTCTAATTAAGAGAGAGCCTAGTTTTTGGTGAGAGCTCTCTCCACCAGAACCCATCTGTGAAAATCTTTGTCTGACTGTGCTGATGGTGAACAAGCAGGAGCTGCGAAACCAAGCAGAACAAGTCTGTTATGGTGTGAACACACTGAACACATTACAGCAAACAGGCTGAGTGAAAGCGATGCCTTCGTTTCTGTCAAAAAGTGAGATTTAAAATGTAAATAATTCTTTTGTGGAATACTTGCATCAAGATCTAAATATAATCTTTATTATTCTGTAATTTCATTTGCAGCAGCCTTTGCTGTACACAGCATAAAGTTTAAATTATGTCAATACACTTTAACAGTCTTATGAAATTTATTTTAGTTAAGGTGGTTATATCTACAATAGTAATACGAAGAGTAGCCACACACATTGTAGCCATTAACTGTTATGATTGCTGTATATTTTTACCAATCTTATTTTTTAGAGCTTTTTTAATTTGAATATGTACTGTGGATTTTCAACATGGGGAAGGTTATGGTCATTCCATAAATGTAAGCCTGTTTTAGACATTCCCAAAACAGTCTACAATGCATCAGCTACCTCCACAGTGGAAACTTGAAATCATGTCATACTAGAAAGCTTCTGCTCCAAAATCAGCATTTGGAGCATCTGTCATTTGGAGCTGTTCTGAAGATATTTGGTTTTGTTTTATCCAAGTAACGTCTTCCTATGGGCAACGAGTTGAAGGCACAAACTAAGCTGTTCATAATTTATGGTACGCCAGCATTCATAACATGTAGGCAAATCACTGTCCCCCAGACATCCGCAGTTATATTTTTTTTAAAACTAAGCGGAGTGTGTATGACGTAATCCGCGCGCGCCGGCTACCTTTCATTCCTCCTGTCCGCTGAACTGCTACTAGTTTTACTCACATGCCTGGAAGATGTCTAGTGCTACTTCCACAGATGATCTCGCTCTCGAAATGGAATTGAATGATTCAGATTAGCTACCCGAATGAATATAAGGGGTAGAGCGTAGCCGCCTGTGGACCAGGCTGCCTGTCACAACTCCAGTCCGGCGAGCGAATGACGTCATACATGCGCCGCTTTGTTTTAAAAAATATATAAATATAAAAAACATAACTGCGGATGTCTTTTTTTAAAATATAAATCAAAGGCCCAATGTAAAAAAAAAAAAAAAAGGCGTTGCCCTTTAAATGAAATTTGCAGCTACCAACATGGTCAGCAAAAATCCTTCTGGAACTCAATCTATGGCCATGTGGTGGAAACAGATTTTGATAGGGTTACTGATAATAACCCCTTAATTGTCCTAGAAATAAACCAACACAAGACACTTTTCTGCAGAAGAGGAGAGTGGACCCAGACGGAGAATGACACTCCCTGAATGTCTGGTGAACTCGGTTAGGACATTAACATTTTTCCAACACACTCAAAAGAAAATATCCTTTCAGATATTGAAAATGCACATTTTATTCTCGCATGAAAAAAAATATTTACATCCATCAAAAACTAGAAAAAAAAAGATGTGAAAAGCATCTTGTACTTGTCTACAATTAGCTTTGTACACAGTCTATAGTATCTGCATGTATTTTCCCATGCAGATGCAGTCAGTCCAAATATACAGCTCTACCTCCTGCACGCCCCCACCAATGCCAGCTAATGCCCGATGTGACCATTTTCCTGCACACAGCAAGCAGGGCAGCTTGTACAGATCTGAACATGAATCAGTCTTTAGCTCGGTTTTAAAGGAGCAGGAGGCAAACTAGCTGAGGCCTGTTCCAGAAAGGCCAGCGGCCCCGGAGGCGGAAGGTCAGTGGCTTTACGAGGCTGACCACTCACATCCTCCAGTACTTGTTGCCAGTGCTGCAGCTTGCTCAAATGCTTTTGAACCAGTGCTTCTTTCCTCTGTAGTTCATTTCGCAGGTCTGATAGATCCTTGAGTGAGAGGAGAAAGGTGATCAAGAGAAGAAAGATTATGTAGACGGCAAGAACTTATAAATGTCAGCCCTGTCCAAGCATTTACCTCTTTTAACACCTGCTCTGGTTTCTGCACAGAGAGCTGCAGCCTCTTCTGTAAGAAGAAGCACTCCGTTTGTCGAGCCACATCCAGGAACTTTTGGATGCACTGGTCCACACCTACACATGAGATAAGTATGCTATTAAATACATATTATAAATATGAAACACTCACTATAAAAAGGCAGCGTTAAACCTACCTGTTCGAATCTCCTCCTGATCCGTTCCATTGACATAGTCTTGACTTACTAATGATGAGAAGCAGGCCTAAGAGATAAAGAAAACGCAGGTTTAACAAAACTGCTCTCAAAAATATCCCTCAATTGTGGAGAAACTTAGATCCTCGTTTTTAAGTTTTCAGAGAGGTGGTTCCGCTAAAGGATCTGTTTCTGATGGTCTCTCTGTCGATGCATTTCAAGAAAACGCATGAAAACCTATTTAAAAAAACAATGATAGGTTACATTAACTGTTTAGAACTATATGCTGTGGTATTCAATGTCAAAATCAAAGTGACATTATGGCGCATAAAAACGAAAAAAAACTCTTAAATAAAAAAAGAAGATATTTTTAAATAAGCTCTTTATTACACCAGTGATCACCATGTTGTAATAGTGTTTAATCCTATTTTTGAATTTACCAATGCTCTCGGACAAACAGTGGAAGAAAATTGGAAAAAACATTCCGACATATTTCAGTTTTTAAAATAGATTTAGCTTTCTGATTAAATAAAAATTTATGATTCATAACAACAAGCGACACACGACATCAGATAGTGAAGAAAATTTATTTAAAGATGAGCTAAGTTCATGTATAAACTAGCCACTAAGAAAACCCCATTTTATCCAAAGGACCCAAAACATTGAATAAAAAAAAAAACACCACACAGTAAACAAGGCAGCTGGTTTACTGAGCTCAAAAACAAGTCCCAGACCACCATATATGCCTCACATTATCAGCCCTGCTAATATAGTGTAGAATGGGTGATAGATCATTTAGCTACCAGGCAGGAATCATATTTTGCTTAATGTTGCTGCTTTGAGCTGTGAAACATTCCAAGAAAAGGCCATTAGCTGAGCCATTATTGCCCATGGTGATAGAAAGGTTTATAGGGATATAATAGGATAAAAAGGTTTAATTGCAGATCCTTCCTCTCATTATATTTTAAACTTTATAACAGTCACTGCTCCCAACCAACTAGAGAAGTGTTTCCCTCTGCTGGTTTTGCAGTCTTTTAATTCATGGATGATGTACAGTGTTTTTATGGACATTTTACAGATCTAAAAAAATTTATGTATATATATAAAACTCTTATTCAGCCACCGCAGACTGTCTCCTCCCTTTTTTTCTCTCCAAGCTCGGGTCCTCTCCCAGAGGCCTGGTAGCTTGATGGTTCTGCCCAGTATCTTTGCTGTTCCTAGAACTGCACCCTTCTGGACTGAGATGTCTGATGTATTTCCAGGAATCTGCTGTAACCACTCAAGTTTGGGGGTCACTGCCCCGAGGGCCCCAATGACCACGGGTACCACTGATGCTTTGACCTTCCAGGTTTTCTCCAGCTCTTCTCTGAGCCCCTGGTATTTCTCTAGTGTTTCCATGTTTTTTTTTCCTGATGTTGCAGTCGCTTCAGGAAAAAAGAAAAAGATAAACTAGAGAAATACCATATATATTTACATTTGTTAAAATCACCCTACTTAGTTGCAATTTTTCTATAATTCAATCTTTAACAGCTAACATCTGTATAGTTTTCTCTGGTACTGTAGTTTAGCCCTGATGTTTTGTTTTTATGTTTCTTACCATTGCAAGTATCCTCATAATTAAATTGGTTGTTCACTTTTAAACCCACTGGGTTAGTTTGCCCTCAGTTTGTGTGGTGGAGATGGAAATGGAAATAATTTGAGCCACTATCTGCACAGGATTTTTAATTTCATTCACCTAAATTATCCACCTCTGTGTACAAGGACGGATTTAATTACACCTGTTTGTTGACCTGTTGTCTGTCTCGTAGCAAAACAAGTTTAGGTGACATTTGTTGTTAAGTGTCGTCATATAATAACTGGAACATCACCTACAGTGTATGGTGGCCAAATGTTTAATGTCAAAGATAAAAGTCTTGAGAGAAGAGATAGATCAAATCCTCGCAAGAAGCGGAAATCGGAGAGGAAAATTACTGTGTGCAACTGTTTTAGAAATGTACATTCATAAAAAGAGGGAAACTCTGACTGAGACTGAATTAAAGTGGTTACCTCTAGATAATAATGTAGCAGTAGAAGAAGCACTCTCTTTACAAAAAACAAACAAAACGTTTCCCCAGAAGGAGTCGCAAGGAAAGAAGCTCATAGTTATTTAGTAGCTATATTAGCCACAGCTGCTAACAACAGAGCTAATCCGCCCCGGTTGCCTCCTACCTCGAAGGATGCCTCCAGCTCGTCCACCAGGGTACTGGTTCCCTGAGCCCGGGGAGCGCTACCAGGAAAGCCAGGCTGAGCCGGACCAGGAGGTCCTCCTACTGAATGAGCACCGGGTGGCTGCTGGCCTGGAAACATCCCATTCATGGACGACGCCATTTTCCTCCGTCACTTACGCAAGTCTTGCGCATGCGCAGATTAGAACACAGAGACCAGAACAAAGATGCATCTAATGGTATGGAAAAAAAAAAAATATATATATATATATATATATATATAAACAAGTTAGCTTTAAACTATTTAAAGGCAAATTTCAAAGGGTATAAACAAAGCCATCCAACACAATAAGTGCTAAAAACCATGCTGGAAAAAAGATAAAAAGCAAATAAAAGTTTGGTTTCTGTACATAAATCAGATAAAGATATTTTAGATTTAGATCCAGATCCGAAAAACATTAATATTATAGATATGTTAAAATGTTATTATGCATCTAGCGCTGGTCAGATTGTCATGGCACTCTGGTCCACTGCAGATCTGGTGCAGTGACTGCAAGAGGCCACTAATTGTTAGATTCATATATCTATGTCCCACAGTAACAAAATCATAAGAGTTATCATTTAAACTTCAGACAACAAATCAGCTGAAAAAATATCAAGAGGTATGAACTTGTGTGTGATCAGCAATTTAGGTATAAATAATTACACCATACATTTATTCTACTACTTAATAATCTCAATACAATTGGTTGATTTTTTCTCTGTGTTTTTATGCTACTCAGCATGAGAGGGAGACATTTGAATGATCAGCAATGAAACATGGACTGTCATTGTCCTGCCTGCATAGTATAGGCATTCTCCAACAAAAACAAACGTAGAAACTTTTAGTAAAGAGGAATAGTTTATTCTAAAAACTTATTTGACAACAAATGATGCTGTAAACAATCCTGTAACAAATTGCTTTTATTAACAGTGCTGAGTGAAAGCATTTGCCCTTTATAATATTTTTCTATTTTTAAATTAAGTTTCAGATCAAAGAAATCTGAAGATAAATGAACCAGTGGAGAAAAAAAATGTTTTGAAGATATGAAGATAAAATTAATTTAGAAAAAGTCAGTTGTTTGCCTTGTTATTAAAGCAATTAACTTTAGAAAGAAGTTCCTGCTTTCAAAAACTCACAAATCCTTTTACATCACAAAGTTTGAATTGTGTGCAGCAGGATTTTCCAACATGTATGTGTGGACATCAAAGTACTGAAGGCAGCAAAGCAATATGTTTACATTGACTAAACTGACAGCGTTTGATAATCTGCAACAAATACATGTAAGAAAAGTAAAAAAAAAAACAGGAAAATATGGAAGAAGAGAAATACTGTTACACATTACTTTGTATAGAAAACAGTTATCAGCATCAGTTATTCTATGCATCCGTTTAACTCCGTACAAACTTTGACACGGTGGAAGATCTCTGATCACCGACTGAGGAAAAGTCTTGAACTTTTGCCCTTTGTCAGATTGAATCTCCGTCTTTCAGCCACTGTGGGCCAGACTGGCAGCAAACTCCACCAGTGTACGTGTTGGTCTTCCAGACATGCCTTTCCTGAGGTAGGGGACTTCGTCTTTGTTGCTCATCACGCCAGCAATGTCCAGATGAGCCCAGTGAGGAGCTGTGACAAACTCCCTGAGGAAAGCAGCTGCTGTGCACGCACCCCCAGCTCTACACGGAAAAAAGAACAGCCAAACGCGTCAGGAACTAGTAAACCCAGCTTCACATTTCTCTTTGTACTTTTTCAATTCTTCCAGAATCAAACTACCACACCTAACAGTACTTTTTAGCTATACTGTAAATACCGTACCGACAACCCTGATTATAAGCCGACCCGCTCTTTCCAGGAGAAGTTTTTAGGACAAAACAAAAAGAAAAATAAACACTGATAAACCAAATTTATTTGGTTTAAAGAAACTATTTTATATAAAAGTGCTAAGAGTTTCATTGAAATATTGCATTGGAAGATTTGTGCAATTAAACTAAATTAAACTACAAAAAAAACATAGTAATGACACATTTATTTGAAATCTTGCAGAACTTTACCTTAAATGCAATCTGAACTTTGCTCACGGAACGTCTCAAAAATCTGCATGAGGCTTTTCCTCACAGACATCCTCTGCCTCGCTGCCACACTCCTACTCTCCCCATGCAGCTCTGCTATTTTTTTAATAAGCTTTTCTTTTGCCGTTTGCTTTTTTCCAGTCTTTTTTGAACGTGGCATCTTCTGACACTGCTCTCTAACTCCGTATTTCTTTGCTGTCTGACAGCTGTTTGATGCCTCCACTGTGTTGACAACCATTATTTTAAAATTGGCGTCATAACTCCGCCTCGCATGTCTGCAAACTTGTCTGACTTTTGATCCACTTCGTTCAGGGCAGCGACTCTCCGTTTGCAGCATCCTTGTCACTTCTTCTCTGCAGTAATAAAAAGATGACCCCAGCCACAGTGAGCTCACTGTCTTGACAAAAAAATAAAAAAAACTGGCGCCCTCTGCTGTTGCATTTGTGTAGCTAGCCCAGACACCTGTCAGCCTGTATAATTGTTTAGACCCCGATTATAACACGACCCCAGATTTTGACATCGTTTTTAAACGGGAAAAAAAAATACATCTTATATTTGGGTTAATTAGGTATTTATGTTCAAAATAACATATCTAATGTTTATAAAGAAATCATGGATGGATGGATGGATGGATGGATGGATGGATGGATGGATGGATGGATGGATGGGGAGGAAAGAGATTCCAGTAAAGGCTGAAGGACACGAGAAGGATAGACAACAATTATGGAAGGACAATGGAAACTAGCAGTATAGGGCAAATTAAGGAAAAAGAGGAATGTAAAAAAGGACATAAGGAAGAACAGGGGGGGACAAATAGAGAGGGAGAAGGTCTCAAGAAAGAAATGGAGAAAAAGAAGGGATGACGGAGCAGGAAAGGAATGGTGGAATAATGAAAAGGGAGGAACAAAGGGGAAGGAAAGATAATGCATAGATGATGGGAAAGAATATAAAGTTCAATTCCTATCCAGAACCAGTATATGATCAAATTCTGCTGATTTGCAAACTGTGTCGAGACACTGGTCAGACTCCTTTGCCTCTACGACTGTCCCTAATGGATCTAAGAGGGACTCAGTGAGAGAAGCGCTCAGGTACGTACCGGCTGTACTTGCCAATGTTGTTGAGGTCGGCCAGCTGGCAGTCAGTAACCTGCTTGGTGTAATGTTGGAACAGAGGCATCCTCCAAACCCTGTCACCGGTCACAGCACTGGCCTTCACACACACAAACACACACAGCATTAGTCACCAGACAAGCTGAGACACTGACGAGTGGAGCTGGGTTTCGCTTCTCGTCTACCTTGTTCAGCTGCTCCCAGAGCCAGTCTGAGTTTGTAAACACTCCTGTTGCTGCCGAGCCCAGGGCTACATCCATGGCGCCTTCAAAAGGAGGTCAGTCATTTTAAAGAAATCCTTGATCTTATTTTCCATTAATTTATTCAAAAAAAGATAAACAATACATTTAACCTAAACAGAACTACTGACACCATTTTGACATCACTGTGTAAAAATCGTACCAGTTAGCGTAGCAACATTGACGATGGCTCTTGGGTTTAATGTGTGTCCATAACAGAGAGCATCAGCAAGGATGAGCCTGCCCTCTGCGTCCGTATTATCCACCTTAATGAAACAATAACAGCAGCTCATCAGTTTAAACCCTCCCTCAGACAGCTGATCTGACCAATCACAAGCCTCCACCAACCTGGATCGTTTTCCCATTCATGGCCGTGACAACATCACCTGGTTTGGTTGCCTTTCCACTGGGCATGTTCTCACACAGTGGGGCCAGACCTGCTCAGGGTAAAAACATGGATGATGGGGCAATAAAAATAAATAAAAAAAGCCAGAAACAGATTGGAAAGGGGAAGCCCACCAATTATGTTGACCGGGAGATTCAGAGCTGCTGCTGTGATGATGGAGGCGCAGACGGTGGCAGCTCCTCCCATGTCGGCCCTCATTGCGTCCATAGACTGAGACGGCTTCAGAGAAATGCCGCCGCTAAACACAAACACAGAGATCAGAGGGAAACAAAGCTAACACGGCCCCCTGAAAAACTACTGGGGGGTTTGTTACGGGGAGGGGTGAGTATTTCATGGTTAACCTGTCAAATGTGACGCCTTTGCCCACGAGCATGAGAGGCAGCTGCTTCCTGTCAGGGCAGCCATTGTAGTGAAGCTCCAGGAAGACAGGGGGCTCCTCTGAACCCCTGGCTACACTGAGAAAGGCTCCCATTTGCTGCTCCTTTATCCAGGCCGTGGATCTGCAAATAAATACTAATTATTAAACACGACTAATACTAATAAAGACTCAGTAACCTAGTAATATGAAGGGAAGCGTAAATAGTACATCTAAAGAAGTAAGTTAACCCATAAGATAATAAATAACCAGAGAACTAAGTCAGTAAATATATAAATAATAAGTAATATTTAAATAAGATGATTTAATAAAAAAAAAAACAACAATTAGGCAAATTAAATAAGCAAATCAAAAAATAACTGAGTAGATAAAAAAAAAAAATTATAATAATAATAAATCAACCAAGAAGTAAGGAAGATAATGAGTAAGTAACTGTTTAGGGAAGCAAAAATGTAACTAAGTACATCAACATACATTAATTAAAGAAGTTTAAAATATATGTAAAAAAATAAGGTACGTAATTAAGAAGAAAGCAAGTGCATCACATCATTTAAACAGCAGGTTAATAGATAAGCAATTCAGTTAAGTAATAATTAACATAAACATCTAATTAAATCAATAACTAAGGAATCTACTGAGTCAATTAATAGGTAAACAGATAAGCAAATATGTACAAAATAAAGATATACATTTCTTACAGTCAATGGAGCCAGTGAAAGCAATGATATATTTTGTTTTTTTTAAAAAGGCATGTGCCTAATATCTTAGTTAACTACCTTGTTTATCCAAATTACAACATGTGTCTAAAAACATAAATATTTGCGCATTACTTCAACAATTTCAATAGCTTTTAATTACTCTTTGTTGTGTCTTCAAGTACCACTCTACAACTGCTTTGAGGATTGAATCATTAAACATAGCAATGCTGCTTAGTTGTACTAAATCAGTGGAAATTAGCCAATTTCTCCTGGATGCTTGGTGATGTATGTCACTGAATGCACAGAAGCACACTACTTTATGAAAACAAAAGGCTTTCAAAAAAGAAACCAGAAATGGTTAGAGCTTTGGCCTCTTAATACTGAGGAAATTTAATGCTATTATAAGTCACTATTCAGCTTTAAACACACATTCAAAATAAATCACAAAGCTTGACATTTATCTAAAGTCTTAAATGCAGTTTTTAGGAATTGGAGGTGAATCAAACCGCAAACCTTTTCTTCACGGTGACTCGTTCAGCATACGGGGCAATTTTCTCTTCAATGGTGTCGGCGAAGGAGGTCGGGGTGATGTGATTGGCTGGAGCTTCCATGAGTAACCGGGCCAAGTTTTGACCTTCTGCATAAACCACACCTTTCCTCCAGTCATCCACGGCAGCACTAGTAAAACACAGAGAGGGAAAACGGCTAAACTCCTTCCCAAATCATCAAACTGTGGGTCTTTGGAAGGTCAGCAGTTTGGTTACCTTCCATGTAGCTGTGTGGTTACTCTGGTCTTCTTCTTGGCCTTTAGTTGGTCATAGCTAAACAATCCAAGAACGGCACCTTCTGCAGCCGACTTGGCGTCGCCGCAGTCGTCCACTTCAATGTGGTTCACTTCCAGTTCCTGAAGAATCTGACAGCCAGCTGAACAGTAACATCTCATTAAGAAAACACCTTATGAGAATCTGTCTGACACGTGTCCACAGTCTGCATCCACAGTGGGTCCACAGTCTGCGTCCACAGTGGGTCCACAGTCTGCGTCCACAGTGGGTCCACAGTGGGCATCCACAGTGTGCGTCCTACCCGACACAGCATGTCTGATGTTCTCTTTCCTGGCGTCCCAGTTCTCAGCCCCACAAAAGCCTTCATTGCCTTTTCCCAACCCGACGACTGCCACACAAGGAAAATCCTGATACACACAACAGCCTGATTCACTCAGAAGCCACTAAAGACTGGAGGTAAAATATTAATGCAACATGTTGTTACCTGGTGGATTCCATAAAATATCCTGGTTTTCCCTTTCTTGAGCCCAGGGCTTGCACTGAGGAAAAATACAAAAACAAAAGATCTATAATATATATATATATATATATATATATCTCCTCAACCACCACAGGTGGTCTCCCCCACTTTGTCCTCCTGCTTGGGTCCTCTACCAGAGGCCTGGGAGCTTGATGGTTCTGCTCAGTACTGTATCTTTGTTGTTCCTAGGACTGCCCTGTTCTGGACTGAGATGTCTGATGTATTTCCAGGGATCTGCTGTAACCACTCTTCCAGTTTGGGGGTCACTGCCCTGAATGACTACTGAAGTCTTGACCTTCCAGGTTTTCTCTGAACCCCTGGAGTTTCTCTAGTTTCTAATGTTCCTGTTTCCTGATGTTCCAGTCACTTGGTATTGCTACGTAAACCACAATAGCTTCCCTCAGCTCTTTGTCAAACACCACAATGTCTGGTTGGTTTGCCATCACCATTCGATCCGTCTGTATCTAGAAGTCCCACAGGATCTTGGATCGGTCATTCCCTGCTATCTTTATTGGTGTTTCCCACTTTGACCATGTGGTTTCCAGCCCATACTCTGCGCAGATGTTCCTGTACACTATTCCATCCACTTGG